ACTACCTTCTATCAGACATGGTGGGATTTGCTACTTTTGAAGTTCTTGAGATTCAACAACACAAAGCCTCTGGTGAGAGTATTTAAGTGTACAGTTGATTATCCAAGGTTTTTAAGAAATATTATAGCATTTTGTGAATACTTTGAAAATAATTTTTTGGAAACATAGTAGCCTAGTGGTTGGCTAGGGACAAATCCAGGAATTTTTAAACTTTTCATTCAGAAAACATAAATTTTTAATGCTATAGCCTAAATAAGTTAAGAAATAAAGGTAAGGGTTAGATACTTCATAATAAGTAGCGACATGCTATGCTTCCATTGCAAGAATTTTGTTAGCGAACAAGTATTAAAATTTACCTCCAGGTCTGATGGGTGGGGGGAGGGTTTGGCCCCCATCTGGACCCTTCCCTCTGAATCTGCCACTGTTAGTAGGCATGTGCAAGGTGTAGGAGATATACTCTTAATGCTCAATATTTTAGCATAAACAAGCAAAACAAACTTTATTGGTAGTTTTGATTTGTTCTTGAGCAGGACACCTTTATGTCTTAGTGCTTTTCCTTGCCCAAAAGTGAAAACTGGTACCAGTACCAGCAAGGTGTTAGGAAAATTCTTAGAAAAAAAGGTATGGGTAATGTGTGATAGATTAGTAGTCCAATGGAAGAGGGCTATACTGTTCTTGAGCTAAATGCAATAAAACATGTTGCATGTTTCTTTTCTATTCTTAGGGCTCCAGAGGCCTCTGTATCTTCTCACAAAAGCTGCTGATAAGCAAGGGGAACCTTTGGAAGAAATTTAGTAGGATTCAATGAATATGTCATCCATATTATACTAGCATAGCGTGTGGAAATCACAAAATATAGTTGTCTTGCATATTCCTTGAGTCAATGGAATTAGTGACATTCTTTTGACTAATCTCATTTACAGCCACAAACTTGAAAAATAGAGAATAAAACTTTCTTTTCATTGATGCAATAGATTGTTGCTATACAAATAAGAGTGCTTTTGAAAATTTTGGATTTCTGTCTTAAGGATTGTCTCTAAGTTAAAATTTTTGGAAGTAAAATGAGTTTTTCAAACCTGAAAATTTCCAGAGTAAGTGTGATAGTTTATTTTTTCATCAGTTGACACCCTTTACTTACATGTACTGTGCTGCTTAGAAATATATTAACTAAAAAACATGCATGAAACATGCATAAATTTGAATGTTAGTGCATAGACATTTAACTTATGTCTAAATTCTGCATCTGTCTCTTTAAATGTATGAGCTAGTTTATTGTTTTTCCATTGTTGACAGGTAATTGTTCTATAGCATAAACTAATCACACTAAAATACTACACAACTACAAACTACATAATTATAGACTTGTTTGTCTCAATGTCTGCTCAAGCCGACCTTCCTAATATGCTCTTACTTATGTAGGCAACTTCATTAAGACCTAACCTCTCTTCTCGTGATACTAGAGGCTCAGTGTGTGGCAACCTTGTTCTTGCATAATGGGTCTTCTCTCCTCTGCTTTAACCACAGTTTGCCCCTGTTGTAGTTTGTTTCAACCAAGTCATTTTGGTTTTTTTTTCAAATTTAGGGGAATGGCTAGGCTATCACTCTAAATATGCATGGGGGGAAAGCTCATTTAAAAGGTTACTTTTTCATGTTTTTTTTTTTTTTTGAGGAGGCTTTAGAGTCCTGCTTATAAGAAAGTTTGACCCATGACCCCTTACATACCTATTTGTTACAACAACTGATCATCTATGTAGGTGAAGTTGTTTCAGCCATTTACATGCTAACATTAGTGTAAAAATTATCCATACTGTTCTCTATGCATTTCCTAGTATTCTTACAAGGACAATTTTTCTAACAATCAAGAGCTTCTTGAGTTCAAAATAATTTCCTTTTTTCTCAGGGATGATACTATCAGGAGAAATCAGATGCTTATATTCCTAAGGAAGTGAAGGGTTTCACATTGGGTGATTTTTTAATACTGTAGCTATTGCCGACTCCTTTTGTGTTTAAACTGTATGATAGGCTGCTGTGAAAACTTTTTTCGTTTAAATCCCATCGAGATCGTACCCATGAGAAAAAAACCGGAGGATACAATATGTCAATTACACATCATTGTAAACGAGATGTTGAGGTGCAGCAAGCTTGTGGGCTCAAAAATCCCGGAAGTTGGTACGAGAATCTTTTCTAGTCCAAACACGCCATGTCCTCCGAATCCTCGAGGGTGGGAGATAGCCTGGAAGAGTTGATTCAAATTTTATTGAATAATCGGGGGGAAATAGAACTCGGACATGCAATCCTACAACTTTCCCGAGTTAACCGTAAAGTTGTGTCAGATTTTGGGGCGCAAGAGTTTGTCAATAAGTTTCCACTACTTTTCCAGACCAAGCGAACGAAATCGAAAGTAATGTTGAGGTTAGACGTTCCTCTCGAATTCTGTCCTCGAGCGGGTGAAAAAGGTGGATGTACTGATGTGAGGTGTTTTCGTCTTCATTTGTGCCCTTTCTTTGTCAAAGAAACCTGCAAAT